TATATATATATATTATATATATATATATATATATATATATATATATAATTAGCAAGGAAAAATATGGAAATCTATTTGCTTAATAAAGAAAATATTTACTATTTCTTTTTTCATTATTCGCGACCTTCATTAAATACCGAAAGGTTTGGGATATCAGAATATTGGGAGATATGAGAAAATCTGTATGCTTTTTTTAATATAACATTTTTTTATAAGTTTGCAATATCTGTCAATAACATAAAACGATGAATATTTTTTAACGAAAGAATAATTTACAGTTACTAAACTTTTCGATCAAATATACATCAGATATTTTTTATTTACATAAGTCGAGTTTTTAATTTGATTAAAATAATTATTATAATATTTGAAAAATATTTTTGGAAAAAATTGTGTAGTTTTCTGTAATTAAAATTAATTATTTTTATCATAGACATACGAAGTTTATAAAATATAAACTCGTTCGCTAATGCTCGCTAATCAATTAATATGTAATAACTATTTTAAAATTTGAATTTGAGCTTGCTCGGATTATACTTCTGAGTTTTCGTGAAAATTTTATTTACATCAGTATTAAATAAGCTTAAAAGCAAGTGGGAATAAGTTAACGAGTAGATGCTTTATACATATGTACAACATTAATTATAAATAGAAATATGAATCATAAAAAGAATTCATATCAAATTCTTACACAAAGCTGTTTGAAAAATATTGATGCAGTTTGATGCAATTTCTTAGTTTCATGCATGTATATTAAAAATTGTAAACACATCTAATTTGTAATGTAGATAGAGACTTGTATACCAAAAGCTTAATAAATATTGCACGCCATATTTGATTCCATATTTCATTGAAAAATTCGCATATTTTAAATTCGGTATAATAAATTAATAACTTAGGATTTTTGCTTAAATATCTTTTATCGAAGCCTAAAATTCGTTGATCGTTATTATAATTAACGTTATTATAATTACTCATTAAAAATAATGAAATAATAATAATTATTATTTAATTATTAGTAGATTCGCGAACACCGAATAATTTTAAGTAATACGATTCGATTGGACTGTGAGTCATTCAAGAATCGAAAATCATTTTCCGTAATAAATTCTTCGTTACATTTTCATATCATATTTAGAAGTTACATTTTCACATACGCATCATTACTGGCGCATCATAATTCAATCTGGATAATGAATTAATTCGATATCCGCGCCATTGCCGGTGATGAAAGCCACGCGAGAGAGGAGGGAAGGGTGGTACGAAAGTCTCGACACTACGTTGCTCTTTGAACTCGTTTTTTGGCCGCGACTTTGACGAAGATATATTCCGCTTACGAACGCGTTCGCTTGTGCGTTCGATATTGACGTGACGAACTGTTTTGAAAAACTAAAAAGAAACGAAGGAAAGTGAAAAACATCCTATACAACCGCGCTATTCAAATCACCGCGACGCGAAGCGACGTTTCGACGCATGCCTTTCCACGTTTTCTGAAATTGTATTTCGCATATGTGCGACACGCAAACTTTATATCCGTGTAGCGGTAGGAGAGAAAGATTGAATAAACCTTCTATGTAATATATATATATATATATATATGGTATAGCTCGATCTTTGAAATTTCAATGAACGAAGCACGATTCTTTATCCTCGCTACAAAGAATAAAACGCAGACTTTTATATATAGCAAAGAATAAGACTAAACAGCTGACCATGACAACTTTTGCTTACGTAACAAATTACACAACCATAAAAATCTGACCTTTCAAACATTGAATATCTCATATAATGAAAATAGATATTCGTCATTAATTCAAGCAAACTTGCGAGCGAATATATAATAATATACGAGGAGAAAAGAAATGAGCTCGTTATCCTATCTGTAACTTTTTGACGCAAACTGTCTAACGCAATACGTCTGCAAATAACAATCATTAAAATTATACTGGCAACGATAATTAAGCGTCGATAATTAAGACCGATTTTTAACATAGATTATTTCATCAAACAGAAATGTGCTACGACGATGAAGACTTTCAGAATTTGTTGCTTTTTTTCGATTTCGTGCAAAAAGTATCTTGCTTCGCGCGAAAATTATCGTCACTCGTAATTCGATGAAAAGTCCGACAGAGACTGCGATGTAATTTCCCGTGGAGTGTGCGTTCCCGATAAAGGCGTATTTCAATCACCGATGATCGGCCACATGACATATATTCGTCGCACCTGCAGCACGCGCGACAAAAAAGGCGGGCTGAACTATTCAAATTGAAATCCTGCTCCAGTTTCATCTGTATTGTATCCAACCTTCCGCATTTCCGCGGATGTAAGCGTGACAGTTCTGGTGATTAATTTCACCTTCAGATCAATTCGTGGGCTCGATGCTCGTTGGTCATACGTCATACATTTTCTCATTGTGCTACGAAATTTCTATCAATTGAGAAAAAAGATAAATATTACTTTTTCTTTCTGAAACCGAAATAGTGCGAAATATTCTAATATTAGATAATCAAATACGAGAATAGAACTGGAGTTTTTGGAATCTAGAATTTATTTTTCTGTAACAAGAATTTTTAATTATTACGTTTGACAACTGTAAACTCTGCGTGCGCAATTTATCATATATATAATATTATTATATCTTTTTTGCAAATAAATGTGGAGAACGCAAAATAGTAAATTTATTTTATTATTATTACAAAACAAATAATTTCTAAGAAATATTTTATTATTATAGTTTTTTCGTCGAGCCTAATCACACGTATTTTATCCATGTGATCCTATTTTTTAATTTCTGTGACATCATTATTACAATATGCAACCAATAACAGGAGAAAGCGTAGTAAATCACATTTGAAATAGAAATCCGACCTTCCTTTGCCGGCTCTTTCTCGCCTTTTTACTTCTTCGAGCCTCGAGTGTTCACGACCCGTTTCTCTTTGGCGGTCCCGCGATATTTCATTCGCGGTCCACCGCGACGTCACTGGCCCTTGTTGTCCACTCGAAAGTGAGGTGTTGCTTAAGGGTAGGGTCGAGAGTGCGCGTGTTCTCACCGGGAGGGGGGGAGGGTCTCCTCAGCGGTTAACCTGCGCATTGTTCGCGTGGAAGTAAATCGCCGTCGACGTACGCGCTTCGTCGTCCATTACGGCCAAATGACAAATATACAAAGTCCCGTGCTTCCGCACATACGTGTGCCCGACATGTGACTGTCTGGTTCCGTATATACGTATATAGCTTCGCTCATACACCATACGCATACAGATCGCGCCATCGTAATGTTACACGTGTGAACACATTTTAGATTAGATGGTGACGTTTAACGCTAAACAGAACGTTCCGAATGAAAGTTACATTGGTAACCGAATATCCCTCCCTTCGATTTCTCGTGTCGCGACATCGGATGATAACGCAGTCGTGACATCGGATGATAACGCAGTCTCAGTACGATTATTCGATTAAAACATTCGTAAAAATGCATTACATAATCTGCTTTCGACCACGAAATTTCCATGCTGATTGCATTTAAAATATACATCTCTACATTTCCATGCGATTCATTAGAAAATACACGGTAAAAGTAAACGTCAGACCGATTAAAAATAAACATTGGCCGGCAAATTGGCGACGTGATTTGCATTGCAATCAAGGAAGAAGAATAGAACATTCCGATCGGCTTCTGACAAAACTCGAACAAATATTCCGATTGGCTCGATCGAATGTTTATTTAATACATTACTATTAAATATTTAATAATAAATCGTTAAATTTTGGAGTTGCTTAGTTTGCATCAAATTTATTTTGCATCATATAGCATATTTTTAACTTTCAATAATAAAAATCCTATCATAGTTAAATATTAAATTAAATCATTATTAATAAAATTTAATTGAAATTTTGAATGATTTTCACTAATTCAGTAAATTAATGTTATCATGAAAATAAGTAATAATTTTTATTATTTAACTTAATTTAAATGTTATCTATTGAAGTTCGATTATAAAAATTAAATTATTCTATGCATGAAAATTGAAATATCAGACTTAAATATGATTATATAATTAAATAAGAAGACAGATGTGAAATATTATATTGAAATTACAACGGATTAACAGATATATGACATAATCATTATTAACAGATAAACATGATTATTCATTACAAAGTTGAACTTGCCAGCTTTCATCTCTTTGAAAGCAATATTATCATGTTTATTAGTCATCTATGCTGTATATTAACATCACTTACATGATCTATGAATTTATTTTAATTACATATCATTCGCAAACGTCAGAAGTAGAATTGATTATATAATTGAAATGATGACAGGAATCAAATATTATGTTATTTTAATGATATGAAATAACCAAACAATTTGCTGACAAATAGATCGAATTGGTAAAATGATCATCTATTGATAAAATAATGCAATTTAATCTAATTCAAAATAACTATTTTATAAATAGATCATGTGTAACATAATCCGTTGTTTCTCGTCATATAACAAGCTATTGTTTCCGCTTTCAAACTAAATAACATTTCACTATTAAATCGCTTATAATTTTAACAAATGAAATCCTAATTATAAGTTGTTTGTGCATATATTTATAAATATGTTATTTTAGTTGTAATTGTAATATAATTGCATACTTATCAATTTTCAAATTAATTTTTATAAAACAATGGATTTAACTTTTAACATATTTATAATTATATATATATATATATATATATTCATTATA